CCAGAAAGGTCTAGAGAGGAGGAGATTCCCTTTGTCCCCTAGGATTTTAAGTTGGGTAACACCTTCGCTCATAGATTCATAAAGGATGGCCAAGATCAGCCGGAGTTGAGTTGGTTCGCCATGGTTAAGAATTTCCTGGCTACTTGAAGCAACTTCGAACAGAAGACGCAACAAGACATCCATAACACTAAGAAGGCAATGTACTCTATGTCAAATACCTCATCTACATCATGGTGATGTGCTATGTGGGTCGAATATGTCGCCCGAGAAGTTGCAAATTTATGTTATCCTCAGACATGTAGCCAAGGTCATATGTGTTGCAGTCGGTTTTAGCCCCGTGATAGCGGTTACGTCGAATAAGGTGGGGGTCATCATTCTACAAGGAAGATGGAGAGTGTAATGAGTGTTGTACCAAAAGTATAAGGAAGAGACAAGAATGCTCGAACAATAGTCAGAGCATATTTTTGACAGCATGATCAAATCAAAAGTTCCCATGTCTTTCCAGATTTGGGACTTTGTTTTCTCTAATTTCTCTAGCCATCCTAGATAATAAGAGGGATCCTTAAAAGACGGGATTTCCCGAAATACCCTAAATTTATTCATGTACCTAAGATCAATTTCCTCTTCAGTCGGAGGATTTCTCTGATTAGCAGGATTGGGGTCCTCATTACTAGCCTTAGGTTTTTTAGCATGACCTATGAGTTTGTATTTATGGTAAATTGGAAAGAAATCGTTAAGTTTGCTAGGATCAACATTAACATCAGATAAAGGACCAAATAAAGCCAAAGGCTTACTAGCAACAGTGAGAGGAATAAGTACATGAGAATAATAAATTCTTCTCTTCTCCTCAACAAGTGGTTCAGGTAGATATTGTTGATTTCCCACCATAGTTGGACCAGTGATCGTGTCAAATGGAGAAAGTTGAGAAATCTTCTTAGGAACCTTCACAGGCTTCGTGCTGAATGGATTTGGAAAATATTCTAAGTCTTGGAAGTTGGTTCGACAGAGAATTGTTGATGGTGTTTCGACATAAGATTTGAATTCAAATAAAGGAGGGAACTTTGTTCTTATCCATATTTTTGAAGGAGACACATGGAGCATTTTCAAGAAAAGAAGAAATGTCGAACGCCACTTCTCTTATTTTTGTAGGAAAGTCGTTAGGGACAGTTATTCTCGACCATTATAAATAGGAAGTCCTAGCGTTAGAATTGGTGTGTTCAAAGTTGTACAAAATCTCTAGAATTATTCAAAGTACCCGTGTGCAGAGAAAAGAGTGTGTCAAGAAAATATACGTTTGACAAAACACCATATCTTTACAATTTAATTCAAGTTTTACCTTTTTACCACAAGTTTATCTTCTTTATTGCCAAAGTTATTTTCGACGCATTTACTCGTTTCTTTGGTTAAGTTTCTGAAATTTACTTCCTTTAAATTTTAAAGTTGTTAACTGTTAGATCATGAGTACTGTCGAAGTATTCACCATTTTACAAAGTTTAATTTAAGATTTACTAGCACATGTCTTAGGATCTGTATGATCGATCCTGTAAGTAACCAAATTCTTTTCCGATATCAGCGGTTGTTTTTTAATTTTCATGATAAGCAAAGACGAAAACCAAAATCACGCTATCTTATAGAGACGAAAACACTATTTAAACTATATATATATATATATATATATATATATATATATATATATATATATATATATATATATATATATATATATATATATATATATATATATATATATATATATATATATATATATATATATATATATATATATATATATATATATATATATATATATATATATATATATATATATATATATATATATATATATATATATATATATATATGAAAATGATAAAAAAATATTAATAATACACAAGAATATTATCTATTATTTAAAAGTAAACATTACAATTATTTTCTATAGTTTTTAATATTATAATATTATTAGCACATAAGTCATTAACTATTTTTTAATTGGAAAAGATATCTCTTCTAATGATAAGGTTCCGAACAAGTCATGGACTGTTAATGGGATGCTATTAGTCCATTAGAAATTAAAATGTAAATCAAATAGATAAACAAACTAACTAATTAATTATGTAATATCATTAGAATGTTTTATAATTACAGTGGAGGCACAAGCCTACACTCTTTAAAAGCTAGGCCCGTTCCTGCAAATAAGATATTATTTTATAAGAGAAAAGTTAATTTTTAAATATTTATTTAATATTTTTTAATATTACTTTCATTTTTTTATATAAGAGACAATTTATTTTTTAGATTTATTGAATAATCAATGTATTTGGCCAATTTATAAACTAGATACATTAATTATTCAATAAATTTAAAAGCTAATTTATCTCTTATAAAAAGGAAGTTATTTTTCTTAATATATTTCACATATTTAAAAAATATGGTCAATAAAATTATATTATTCAATATTTGGATCGGTAGTAAAGTTGTTCCCGTTTATAACAATATAAATTTTTTCGTATATAAAAATATTTTAATTAACAATGTATTTTATTCCATATATAAATGTTATATTTGTTGACACTGTTTATTAAAATATTTGAATCAATAGTAAAGTTGTTCATGTATATAAATATTTAAATCAAAATGTTATTTTTGTTTTGACAATATTTATAAAAATATTTGAATCAATATTAAAATTGTTCCCGTTTATAGCAATAGTATTTTCTTCCCTATATAAAAATATGTTAATCAACAATGTATTTTTTTCTGTATATAAATATTAATTTTGTTTTGAAACTATTTATAAAAACATTGAATCAATAGTAAAGTTGTTCTCCTATATAAAAATATTTGAATCAAAAGTAAAATTGTGTCGGTTTATAACAATAATATCAAGAATAATATGATTAAAAATAAAAACTATTAAAACTTGTATTAGATAAATTATTGTTTTAGTGTTTTTAGACAATAATTTTATAGGAGAGAATACAAAATTTAAATATCTACTCAATCATTTTTAATAAGTTCTGTTAATCATTTTCATATTTCAAAAATATAGTTGATAAATTTTTATTATTTAATATTTGAATCAATAATAAAGTTGTTCTCATTTATAACAATAATATTTTTTCTGTGTATAAAAAATATTTGAATTAACAATGTATTTTTTTCATATTCAAATATATATATATATATATATATATATATATATATATATATATATATATATATATATATATATATATATATATATATATATATATATATATATATATATATATATATATATATATATATATATATATATATATATATATATATATATATATATATATATTTCATATTATTTATAATAATATTTAAATTCATAGTAAAGTTGTTCTCGAATATAAAAATATTTGAATCAACGAAATATATATTTTTTCTTATATAAATATTATTTTTGTTTTAATAATATTTATAAATTCTTTTAATCAATAATAAAATTATTCCCGTTTTTAACAACAATACTTATTATAAAGATATTTGGATCAAACAATAAATAATTTTTAAAGTGACATATGATTTTCAAGATATAAGAACATAAAAATTATTAAAGTTTTATTGATTCACTTTTTAATTTGATGAGTAATTTCATTTTTCCTATTTCATATAATTTTTGCTATAGGAAATATTACAAAAATTTCTATTTTGTTGTTTGATTCCTACCGGTTTTGCTTGGGTGAAATGCGAGGAGTGCAAAGAAAATGGTCATAACAATCTAAGAAAAAGGAATATTTCTTCAAGAGAAGGAGGGCGATTTCTATTTTTTCCCTCAATTACCTGTTTATTTACTTTCTCAATTGGATTATACTAACAGCTTTGAGTAAACTGATGAAATAAATAAGAAATGCAGAAACAGCTTTGAGTAAACTGATGAAATAAATAAGAAATGCAGAAACAGCTTTGAGATCTGTTGCTTAAATTACTGACCAGTCGAGAACTTAGTTAATGTAATAAATTCTCTTGGTGATTAAAATTGGTACTGACTGAATCGATAGAGTTACTTAGTTGATGTATCAATTTCTCTTTGTGATTATAGTTGGTGTGTTAATATTCTTTTAATGGCAACTACTGTTGTATTGCACCCAAAATTAATTTCTTCTCATCATATTATTGAAATTAATTTTGGCTTCCAACATAACAGCAAACATTTATTGTTCTCCATTTATCAAAAAAAACAGCATGAGTTTCAATATTATCTTTTAATTTTACAAACAGCAAATATCACAAAACAATGACACATTTGAATTGGTTCCAACTTGAGGCTATGACTCTATACCTTAGTTTGAACATTTTTTACAACATCTGAAAAGGCAATTAAGACTTCAATTTAAAATTAAATTAGGAATGAGATGAAACTTTTTTGTATGTGTGAATACAATATTTTATTGGTGAATTGGAACTCAACAAACCCAAAAATATCTGCCATAGAAATAATCAATCAAGAATAACAATCCTACAAGTATTAATCCCCCAATATTGTATAGAAAACCAAGGAAAGTGACAGAAGCCTTTTCTTTCTTCCAAAAATCCAAACTCTCCCAACAAACATAAGCAAGGTGGAAATTAAGGATCCAGTAACACTCTGTAACAGACATGTTTCCTTGTTTGGTGTTGAAAATATTTGTTTTTAAGTCACAGCTGGTAGAAAAATCCTACTTCAAGGAAAAAGATGGTAAAGATTATCACAAACATAGTGTTCCACAACCAGACATAAAAATGAGCCTTCCTCATCCAAACGCATAAACAGTGTCATAACAATGCACACTGAAAGAAAGCACACATGTACACAGAATGTCATTTGGATGAAAAACAATCGATAAAATGGGAGTCCTACCTTTTGAAGGAAGAAACTCCACTGCTGGTGACGCAAGATGAATATTGACAAAAACACTGGTTTCTGTGATCCATATGAAGTCCAGTTGCAGCAAGAAGATCTAGTTAGCTCAATCAGACGGTCCTGGTCACGTTATACCTGTGACATCGCAATCAGGCGATCTTGCAAGCAAGGCAGCAAGTAAAGGTTGGATCAGAGGTTGCACTGCAATGTTTTTACTTCTCCAGAAAAGCCACACAACTTCAAGGTTGTCCTCCAAAGCCAGTGCATACATGCCACCATAACGCAAAATTGGATCTTGATCCCGAGTCATCTGCTCAATTAAAGTTCCAGCTTCTTCTTCTCTTCTGTAAACCGTAAGGGAAATTTCCATCGCTAACCCTCTGACATATTTAAAAACCATAAATTATTAGAGCAAAAGAAGTGAGCATTTCATTTGCCTTATCACTTCCTGAAATATTTAAAAACCGTAACAGCTTGTCGAATTAAACACCCTCACCTTATAATTTTTTCATGTTGTGTCTCATGTGCATAAGTGAGGATTTCATTTGCCTTATCACCGCCTGGTCCAACCATGAGTAAGCCCATACTGATTCCAACAGCTTCGCCAGCAACAACACTATCAGTGTAGAGAACATTTTTTATTTCTTCATAAATATCCTCGTCAGCAGTTCCTAGGGATGCTAATCCAAGACCCAAACATGCACCATGTTGAATGACCTGGCCATAAACAGCACATTAGATATGGCAATAATCTTTTTTTAACAGAAGATGATCAATATTTATGAGCACCTCAACGGTAGTACTGCGCAGGCTATCACGAAGGAATTGTTTGATGCCCTCTCCATGGTTGGCGTGAATCAGACTAAAGGCATAGAGAGCACCACCTTCTGAGTATGGACTACCACCACAACCACCTTCTATCATGAAGATTTTATGGCACAAATCGGTAGATGTGAAACTATGTTACTTGAAGTCAAAGAGAAGCCACCAGGGACTATATGGCTTTGGCCTAATTCTTGAAGCTGCAGGGTTGGATAGGTTGAAGTAAAATAAAATCATCATGTAGGCAACACACAAACAACACTGATAGAAACTTCATATATCACTACTACAACATGTATAACTGCTCTAAACCACTTTACTGTGCAACATATGGTTGTGAATAAAATTAAAATAAGTATCATACCAGTTGAACTATCATGCTGAATAGAGTGAACATACCTATCGGGACTCATATTTTGGGAAGAGCTAAGTTGTGTCTTCCTTTGCAAGGCCTGGTATCATATCAAATAAGAAAAACAAAATTTTAAACACAGAAGGAGGATAGAAAATTAGAGATAGGCAGACAAGTAAAAGGGCGATTCAAGAGTAACCTCTAAGGGAAATGTTACACCACCAACAAGATATTTTTTCAACCCAACAATTGTTTTCTTATATCTTACATACCTTTTTTTAATTATATTTCTGTTTCTATATCTTATTATAAAAAATATTATGTTTACTAAAAAAGAAATCTTATATTATTTTTTGTTTACTAAAAAATAATATTTGTTTTCTATATTTTATTATACTAATAAGGTATCTTATTATAAAAAATACATAAGATATATTTGATTTACTATAAAAATAAATCTTATATTATTTTTATAATCAATTAGTTATAATAAATCTATAGAGTTTCTTTGTAACAAGAACATGGTGAAGGGTGTTGGAAGGCTCTGGCACTGCAAGATACCACCGTCTAACAACACTGATATGCTCGTTTCTGTTAAACTATAATTACTGTTCATCTTCTTCTTCTTGCTTCTGTTATCAGAGATAGACACAGTTTACCATTATCATGTGTTACAGATTTTTACATTACATTTTTTTTTCAAAAAGAAAGAAGTTAATTTTTTTTATTATTACAATAGTATGTTGTTTTGTACTCTTGTTGTTACATTTCGTTATTCCAAAATTTGGTGAAAAAGGGAATCACTGAGGTATAGATGATTGGAGACTATATATTTCATATTTATGTTTTTCTTTTTTTGATATATATTTTTGAAATAAATTTATTTATAAAATTGAAATGTGACTAAAAACGAATGAAACCTGTATATTAAGATGCGTTTAGAGATATAACTTTAAAAACGGAGAATATTTTTTAAAACTTAGAAATTTAAGAAATTCTCTAATTCAAACATTTTTAGGTGATTTACATTAACACAAATTCCTAATTTAGAGACCGATGCGGTTGCAACTACAATCATAGTATTACTGTCTGAAATTGACATATCCCATACAACACAACCTTAATGTGTGGTCACAGATGACGGAAACAATTGCACACACAACACAACCATTTAGGAAAAAGTAACCATAAGGTCACTATATAGTGATTTACAAAAGCTAATCACATACATTATTGAAGTACAATTCAAAATCACAATAACACAGGAAAAACAACCATGCTGAAAACACAGCTTATGAAACCACATAGTACTTCTCAAAAAGGGAAAAACACACGCACACACAAACATACCACCATATATCTCAAGCATCACCATGTCCTAAGATTGCCAAAAGCATTTTCTCATAGTCACCAGTTGTGTCCTTAACAATAGCACGATCAAGAGGAACACTGTCCCTCCTTTGATACTCATCAGCCACAATTTTCAAGTCAATCTCAGCTCTTGTTGCCACAACTCTTGTAAGAGCCCCTTCATCGGTTCCTCGCTTATTGATCGATAGACGAATTATCTTTGCAAAGTACTTCTCGGGACGAGTCAAGCACTTGACAGTTGATCTCAGTAATGACAGAAACTCGTCTTTTGGATCTTCTTTCAGATCCTACCAAATTGTCTCAAAGATTAATACAGTTATTCTTAATCAGTTTTTATAAAACAAGAAAAGTGTGAGAACTAGTACTCTACTAACCTTGTTGATATCTTTTCCAAATGCATCTTTGTAGTGATTCAAAGTAGCATTAACTTGTGCTTTGCTCCTTGTTGCCAGAATTCTAATGAGATCGTCGTCGTTATAAGCCTTTTTCGAAATCTTTTCGTGAAGAATCTTTGCCTCGGCTTTTGCTATAGTCAAGTTGACTTCATCTCCTTCATAGCGGTGAGAACTAACCAGAGGTAATAGGAGCTATACCAACAAAAACAAGCTAACAAGTATTAGTTCAAGATCGGACACACGCAATAGTAGTCATCAATGTTTGTTTCGGCTTATAACTAACAAGTTTATGATCGAGAATCATTACCTTACGGTAGTCTCCAGTTGTGTGATGAGCAACATCTTCCTCAAGAGACTTCTTATAAAGGACATGATAAGCCTTCTTTGCAGAAAACAATTGATCAGAAGACCTAGTGCAAGCAATTTCCACCAGAACTTGATTGCTTGATGTCCATTTTTTCGTTGCTTCGTTTGCAAGAAAAGCATCACGTTCCGCGGATTCAAGCACCCAAAGATGAACCAGCCTCTGCGAGAAGAAAATTCTTATAAGTTTTCATTACCAAACATGTTGACATCATGCTTCCCTTTTAATCACAATGACATCTTCTTGGTCCTAAAACCAGGTTTCAACTAGATAATCCATGCGTTTCACAATCACTTAAATGTGCTCATCTAAGTATATACTAACACCTTAACTTATGAAACACGGACACAGATACTAACACCGTACACAAGGACAGACACACCTTATTTTAGAAATGTCTGCTACAAAGATCTTAATCATAAAGTCTATATCAATCCATTTAAAGTTAAATACTTCATATCTAACCTTTTTCTATCAATCTTGAGATTGATAACACAATAGATAAAGAATTTAAGAGGATCAAACTCCAAAACAAAATCTCTATCACTTTACTAACCTCAAAATCACTGGTAAGCTCTTTGTCCAAGGCCTTAAGGAGATCTTCTTCATAAGTCTGAGCATAAGTTTCTCTGATAACCTTCCTCTGACTAGCATTCCTATGTCCCAAAATCGATATAATCAAATCTTCATTGGTCCCCCAACCTACAATAAAAAAATCAAAATCGATCCATTAGCAACACCCGATCCTGAAATACAAATGAAAAAACAGTACATCAACCGAATGACTTTGTCGCATCGTACGGAATCTGATTCCGTGCAGTGCAACAAAGTCACCGATCTGGACGAATCGGATCAAAATAAACGATCAAGACTAAGATCTAAGTCGACATAAGATAGTTAAGATTAATACTACAATTCTGCAATAATATACATGGATCAAACCATCAAATGAAACATGATATGAAGAAGAGGATTGTAATGAAAGGTGGAATAACCTGAAAAGGCTTTGCGGAGCTGCTCAACGTCATCGGAGACAGGAGGAATAGGATGAGGAACAGTGAGGGTCGACATTGTCAATTATTGTTACTATCTATTTCAGTCACTCTTTGTTCGGTTTTATGATGTGAGAAAAATGGGACAGCGCGAAATAATCGTGGTTGTCGTAAAGTCAAATTGTGGGTCCCACATTTGTAATCATGCAAATGGCTTTATTGTTGAGTCGCCACGTAACATGTTATCCTGATTTTCCGGATATTCAATAAAGAGAAACACAATTGTGTATTTTTGTTAATAAATTAATTGTTTATTATTAATAGTTCAGTTGGTAATTGTATAAAATATGAGATAAGTGAATTCGAACACCAGAGATCCATTTTCCAATCATTTAAAAACAAAATATTGGTTAAAAAAAACTTTCACAAAGCATTAAATGATTTTATAAGAGTTAATTTAAACCTTAATGGAGTGCTTGTGGGATAGAAGAAGGAACGGTGATGAAGAAGACGGTTGAATATTGATAGTACATTAGTGGATAGGAGTGTCGGCAAGTATATTGATAAATAAGACAAATGAGTATATTGATTAATATTTTTGAAAAAGTATACATTGATTAGTAATAGAACTAGTGCGAATTTCTTGACATGACAACATTGTTTTCTGAAATAACCCAAAAACGCAAATCAATATAGTAAAATGTCATACACTCAAGTGCAAAGCAAGTGAAGAAAAAAATGACAGATTCTCGGGAGTATTTCGCCGGATAGATGCAAACTTTATTATTAAATATTCAAATTGTGTGTAATAATGCCGTTGCATTGTGAAGCACCCGTATAATAGATAAAATAATAATAAATTTTGTAATTGTTGTATATTGGCTATGTTTTTTTTAATCAATTTATTTGCTTATTTAATAAAATTAATTAAAATTTTATACATTTATATTTTTTCTCACAATTTCATCATTTCATTTTTAATTGTTGAATTTTTCTTTCACAATTTCATCTCATTGATTATATGCATTGGAAATTGAAAATTTATTCCGTTGCATGGAAATAACAATTTTATTGAAGTGATCATGGTAAATTCACGATCATGTTTGAAGCAGTGACATCACATGACTTATGAATTTGGCATGTATTTTTTTGATATTGCAGGTTCAAACAATGACATTAACGTGTTAAATCAATCCAACGTCTTTAGCGATATTTTGGTAGGACAGACTTCCAATGTGCAACATACAATCAATAGAAATTCATATAATATGGACTATTATCTAACAAATGGTATATATCCAAAATCTGCTATATTTGTCATGACCATTTGACCATTTCAGTACCACAAAGAGAAAAGAGAAAACTGTTTGCACAACATCAAGAATCAGCTAAAAAGAATGTGGAATGGACATTTAGAGTGCTTCAATCTCGATTTGTAATTATACGTGGTCCAGCGCGTGCCTGGAACATGAAAACCCTCAAGCATACCATATATGCTTGCATCATATTATACAACATGATTGTTGAAAACGAACAACACATATGAAGGTGGTTTTGATTACTCTTATGATAATATGGATAAAATCTCAACAACTGAAACACTTAACAGTCCTGATCTGAATCGTGCAACAATACTCCAAAGAAGAGCAAGTCTTCGTTAAAAACAAGTTCATCGCCAACTATAAGGAGATCTAATGAGTATATTTGGAAATGTTTTGGACACGAGGATGCTGAAATTTAAATTTGACTAATTACGTGATATTATTTATTTTTATTATTTTTTAAAATTTAAATTTAATTTAAATTTTATTTATTTAAATTTAAATAATTTAAATATAAAATAAAATTTAATATAAATAAAATATTAATATATAAAATAAAATTATGGAACTCAATATAAATTATTTAGAGTTGTACCGTTGAAATAAAAATTTCCATAGTTCCTTTAATATGATATGGTTTAATGGATCTGGGATAGGAAGATAATAGAAGGAGATTAAGTGGAGTAGAAGATATAAAATAAGCTATCGTTAATCATTTTAAGAATCAATTCTCAGTCTAAAGTTTGAGACCAATTCTGGCCAATATGAACTTCAAAAAAGTTGAGGACGACCTTAGAGACAGTATGGTTCGAGAATTTTCAGAGAAGAAATAAGGGCAGCAGTGTGGGATTGTGAAAGTGATAGAAGTCCGGACCCTAACGGCATATCGTTTGGGTTCATTAAAGAATTTTGAGATGATATCAAAGATGATATGTTTGCTGAATTTCATACAAATGAGAGAATGGTTAAAGGGGTGAATAACTCCTTTATCGTATTGATCCCGAAAAAGAAAAATCCAACCAAGATAACATAATTTCGTCCTATTTCTTTGATAGGATGATTATATAAAGTGATTTGAAAAGTGCTGGCTAGCAGGTTGAAAAAGGGAATTGGTTCAGTCATCTCAGAATTGCAATCGGCCTTTATTACAGGAAGACAAACTTTGGATGGAATAGTGGTCGCAAATGAAATAGCGGATGAGACTAAAAGGAAGAAAAAATAAGTTTTAATGTTTAAGGTGGATTTTGAGAAGGCATAACATTCGGTAGATTGGAAATTTTTTAGTTATGTCATGTCAAAGATGGGATTTCACGAAAAGTGGATATGCTAGGTTTCAGAATGTCTCAGATCATCGTGTGTTTCGATTCTCATTAATGGAAGCCCCACGAAGGAATTTAGGATGTCTAGCGGTCTAAGGCAAGGAAATCCATTGTCTCCGTTCTTGTTCTAGGTAGTGGCAGAAGGTTTCAATATGTTGATGAAAGGAGCTTCTGAAGCAGGACTGTTTTATTGATCCAAATTCGAAAACGAAGAAGAATGTTTTATTCATTTACAATATGCAAATGATACATTAATCAAAGGTGAAAAAGGTGGTCTACATACAGGATTATCAAAGCAAACCTCCTATTGTTTGAAGTCATGTCGGGGTTAAAAGGTGAACTATCATAAAAGTGTTTTAATGGGGCTTACATACTACAGAGGTGGCTGGAGGAGGCTGCATTTATCCTTCATTGCAAAATAGGAAGAATTCCATTCAATTATCTCGGATTACCGATCGGCAGAAGCCGAAACAGAATTGAAACTTGGCAGCCGGTGGTAGAAGCAGTGAGATCAAGGTTGTCAAGTTGGAAGAGAAAGTATATTTCAATCGGAGGGCGAGTGGCTATTATCAAATCAGTCTTGCAAGCACTTACAGTCTATTTTCTCTCCTTCTTTAAGGTTCCGTTAAGTATCATTGTTAATTTCGAATTTCTCTTTAAACTATTTCTCTGGGTGGGAGGGAGGGTGAGAGAAAAATAAACTGAATTCGTTAGGATAAAGTTTGTAGGCCAGTTGACGAGGGGGTTTAGGTATCATGAATTTGAGGGAGTTTAATTTGTCGTTATTGGAAAAATGGGAGTGTAAGTCGATATTTGAGAGAAGAGGTATATGGTTCAAGGCATTAGTTAATCAATATGGGGTTAGAGAAGATGGGACAGTGGGAGGCGATAGAGATTGCTCTTATTGATGGAAGTGTATTCTGAATCTTAAATTGGGGGAGTGGTTTCAAGAGTCATATTACTCGGTTAAGGATACGTATAAGGGGCTGCTGTCTCTAGCTGATAATCCGGCGAATCTGAGCAGTGCTAAAGCTTGACACAAAGCTGTTCCGGCGAAAGTCATGTGTTTAGTGTGGAGAATCTTTCAAAAAAGAATTGCTACTATAGACAACTTAATAAAGAGAGGAGTTATTAGTAACAATATCGGTTTGTGTGTAGGGGAGTGCGGTAAAGAAGAGTTGGTGTCTCATATTTTCTTTAAGTGTCCGGTCTTTTCGGGTGCTTGGTATGACATTTGTAGATGGTTAAACATTTCATCAGTGATGCATAACGTCAGTTTCTCGCATCTGAAGCAATTTGAAGGGTTACTAAATAGAGACACAAAAATAGGTAAAAAGGCTCAAGTAATTTGGTTTGCGTGTGTGTGGAATATTTGGAAATCGAGAAACGATAAGTTATTTCAAAACAAGAACATAGATACAGGAAACCTGGTAGAGAAGGTAAAAATAAATGCTTGGAAGTGGCTGAAAGTTAAATCAAAGGAATCAAACTTAAACATATCTTGGTGGTGTTTGAATACAAGGTCAACTCTAGGAGTTATAGATGAATAAGTTTGGTTTTCTGATTGTTTTTTTTGGGAGGGCTGTTTCTGGTCTCTTGGATGCTATCATGAGGCAAATTGTTTTGTTGATTTGTGGTGGGGCTGTTCTGTCTCAAATTGGTTAGGCAGATTTGTAGTTTTGGTGGGGTTGAGTAGTTTCCTTATCCGTCTGGAGTAGTTTTGGTTCGATGGAGGCACAAGTTCGTCATTCAATTCAATCCTCTTGGTTATTGTTTCATAACATGTGCAACGTTGGTTCTGGGACAGTTATTCTTAAATATTGGCTCTCTTGTGACTGCATCTTGGTCAGGTTCATCTTTGGTTAATGGTAGTAGTGGTGGTTTTGCGGATAACCAGAGCATCAGTATGAATCAGCCCAATCTTAGTCCTCGCAGTGTTGACTCTATTGCGTTATCGATTGTCTTAGGTATATTGGCTGTAGTTAGTTCTGATCTAGGTGGAGGTTTTATTGAGTCGATATCTTTCGTTATTTCCCTGAGTCTTAGTTGTTGTTGGAGTAGTGAATTCATTGGTCCTGTTTGTTTTTAGTAGCTGGCGATATGCTCTTCATTTCGGATGATCCTTGGTTGGATTTATCTGATTCCTTTGTGTGTAATCTCATTGTTCCGGCTGTTAGTGCGGGATAATTTTCTCATTAATGTTATTTCAGCTCATCAGAATTTAGTCCATGGTTGATTTAGCTGTTGTTGTTTTGGTGTGCTCTTGGTGGCTTAGTTGCTTCCTGCTGTAGTAATTGTTAGCGGCAGATTTGGAGGTCTTTGTGTTTTGGCCGTTTTTCAGCAGGAGAGCTTTATCTTTAATGTTTTTTCATCTCAATAATTACTCCTATGGTGATTTCACTGCTGTTGTTTTTGTGTGCTTTTGGTGGCTTAGTTGC